GAGGGAAGAGAGGAGAGAGAGAGAGAGAGAGAGAGAGAGAGAGAGAGAGAGAGAGAGAGAGAGAGAGAGGGAAAGAGACGGCTGGAGCGAGAGCAAGGGGAGAGTGTGTGTGTGAGAGAGTGAGAGTGAGAGAGAGATTGTGTATAGATAAATACAATAAAAATACTATCCAATATGTGACAAACCAGTTTCCTGTGGTGGTCCAGCGTTAGTTTCTTTCATGGGTCCGACGTAACCCTCAATATTCCTTGTTATCTCCTGTCGTAGACATTTGGCATTTCCTCTCTACCCCATGAAACCGAGCCAGCCTATTTACCCTACACTTGTTCCTATGATGTCCTGGACATCCTGAGAGACCAGGGTAGACTGTCCACAAAGAGAAAGTCATGTCATATACAGGGTGAAATCTCTGTCACTCAGGTACTAAAAGAGAACTCGACATAATCTCTATTTTTGTGAGGTGCATAATTTACATATGTCTGTATGGAGGGTTGGAGACAGTTTTTGGCTTCTGTATGTAAGGTTTTGGGTATACAGGAATGACAATGTTGTTTTTCAATCATTATCAAAAGTCTGTTTCTCTCCCACCTATAATTTTAGTATTGTGGCCTAGAATGGTATCTATCTGAGTTAATGTTTCCAGTAGATGATATGGAATATGATTCGTGTTAATTAAAAATGGAAAACTAGTTATAAATCCACTATACTACTAATACTGCTACTACTACTGCCACTACTATTGGTACTACTGCTACTACTACTGTTCCTTTTGCTGCTGCTACTCCTGCTGCTGCTGCTGCTACTACTGCTGCTGCTACTGCTGCTGCTGCTGCTGCTGCTGCTGCTGCTACTGCTGCTGCTGCTACTACTGCTGCTGCTGATGCTTTTACTATTATTATTATTATTACTACTATTATTATTGAGTTGTGTGATAGTGTGATTAGATATCCTGACATCTTGTTTTAGAATGCCCTTGACGTACTCTGCATCATGGTGAGACACTGCTCCAAACCTCTCCCTGACATCATGATCACCGAAGCGTTTCCGTCGGCGGCGCGTTGCACATTGAGCACCGACGATAACGCCACCATGCAGGTAATGGGAGAATCAATCGGATACCAATGCAGGTAGAGCACCCCTCGTCGGAAATTCCAGAATTCGAAAAAGCTCCAAAATCCGCACATTTTAGGAGATGCCGATAATCTTGTAACAGTTGTTGTTGTTGTTGTTTACATTGACACATGTTTTTCGCAGAGTGGAGGCGAGTGTCTGCGAGCGTTCGTATCCGTGGCCTGTGATCAGATTAGCCTGTGGCAAGACGAGCAGGGCAGACACGGACTCTGGTACGTAGCACTTACGGTTTGCGTTCTCGCTTCCAATTACGGTACGTCTGTACGTGTTTACAGGACTCATCGAGCAGGACTCTGGTATGCAGCATTTAAGGTTTACGCTTTCGCTTTCAAATTTTATTCTGCAAGTGTAATCTACCCTCGGTGTCGGTATACACTAGGCACTGACACCGAGAGTTGAAGAAGCCAACACACAGGTATTTACAGGTATTTCGTGCACATGTTTACAGGTATGTATGTATGTATGTGTTTATAGGTACGCCGTACACGTGTTTACAGGTACGCCGTACACGTGTTTACAGGTACGCCGTACACGTGTTTACAGGTACGCCGTACACGTGTTTACAGGTACGCTGTGCACTGTGGCTTTAGAGGTACGCCGTGCACGTGTTATAAGCTTACGTACGCCAGTGCAGCGTGTTTACAGGTACGCGCCATACACATGTTTTACGGTATGCCGTGCACGTGTTTACAGTACGCCGTGCACGTTGTTAACAGGTACGCCGTGCACGTTTGTCACAGGTCGCGTACACTGTGTTTTACAGGTATGCCGTACACACGTTTACTTGTGTTTACAAGCATGTCCCTCAGGTGTATACAGGTATGCTGTACACTCGTTTACAGGTACGTCGTGCACTCATTAACAGGTATGTCATACATTCGTTTACAGGTACGTCGTGCACTCATTAACAGGTACGTCATACATTCGTTTACAGGTACGTCGTGCAAAGGCTGGTGTACGAATCATGCATGCTCGACCGCGCATGTCAGGAGTTCACGGCGCGTTTCGTTCGGTGCCGCTTGCTCTCGACCCTCATACTCCACAGGTTCTGCGCGTTTGCCGCTCGGAGGACAACCTGGAGCTCGCTGCTGTCGCGCGCCGTTCTCAGCAAGATGCAGCAGGCTGACACGCTCAGTGTCATTTGCAGTCGGTGTGTGTGTTGTACAGGTGTGTGGGGTGTTGTACAGGTGTGTTGGGTGTTGTACAGGTGTGCTCAGACAAGATTGCAGCAGGCTGACTACACTCGGTGGTCATGCAGGTGGTGTGTGTTGTACAGGTTGTGGTGTTTGTCGTAACAGGTGTGTCATCAGGTGAAGCAAACCTGGAGCTGCTTGCTGCGCGCCGTCTCAGCAAAGATGCAGCAGGCTGACACGCCTCAGTGTCAATGCAGGTGTGTGTGTTGTACAGTTGTGCTGCTGTCGCACAGGTGTGTTCGCTTACAGGGTTGTGTCGTATCAGGTGCTGTGTGTCGTACAGGTGTGAACTTGTGTCATACATGGTGTGTCGCTTACAGGTGTGTTGTACGGTGTGATGTGTTGCATACAGTGTGTCGTACCAGGCCTGTTGTGGTCGTACAGGTTGTGTCGGTACAGCGCTGTGTCGTCAGGTGAGACAACCTGGCAGCTGCTGCTGCGTTGCCGTGCTCAGCAAGATAGGCAGCAGGCTGACACGCTGTTCACGTGTCATGAAGGTGCATTGGAAATGTGTGTGTTGTACAGTCGTGTGTGTCCGTACAGCGTGTGTCGTACAGGCTGAGACTAACCTGGAGCTGCTGACTGCGCGACGCCGTGCTCTCCAGCAGATGCTCAGCAGGCTGACACGACTCAGTGTCATGCAGGGTGTGTGTTGACACGTTGTGTTGTTCTGTACAGGTGTATGGGTGTTGTAAGGTGTGCTCCTGCTCAGCAAGGATTGCCAGCAGGCTGACACACTGTTCAGTGTCATGCAGGTGTGTGGGTGTTGCCAAGGTGTGCTCAGCAAGATGCAGGGCAGGACCGGACACACTCAGTGTCATGTTGGTGTGTGTGTTGTACAGGTGTTTGTGTACTAGGTGTGTTCATACAGTCGTGTGTCGTTACAGGTTGTGGTACAGGTGTGTCGTACAGGTGTGTGTGTCGTACAGCGTGTGTTGTACAGGCTGTGGTGGTTCGTACAGGCTGTGTCGTACAGGTGTGTGGCGTACAGGTTGTGTGTGTTGTACAGGGATGTGGTGGTTCGTACAGGCTGTGT